TTTTGGTGTGGCCATCCCTCCCCAAGAGGAGTGGAAGATGGCTGATTTCTCATTTCCTCTCTCATCAACTCCCCATCTCTGGTGAGTGCATGTGCCCTATAGCAAATTTTTTTGAAATGTAAACATTTGTGATATGAAAACACTTTGCATTAATTTAACTCTATTATCTTAGTATTAATTCTATTTGAATGGAGAATAGGAAATTTACAATGAATGAATTTGCTGTTTTTTCTGCATTACAGATTGATTTCTGAGTCTAGTCTCAAAATTTAAAATAGGCTGATTTGAGAGAATCTTTCTTAAAATTTAGAATGTTTAAATGAGGAACATCCTTTATTTATCTATTTACTATGAAAATTTGCAAGCATACAATTGTATATAGTTGTATTTGTATACAGGTCTTGTTATAATCTATGAAAAAAGTTTATATGTGTAGTTTCATTTACTTCCCCGAACCACCTTGTGAATGGAATACTATTATATTTACTATATATATTATGTAAAAAACTAAGGTTTTGGGAAAATAGCATACAATCATTTTGTAACATAAAATCAGAACATGTATATGATCTGACCAGAATTTGAATTCTGGTCTTTGAGTGTCAATTATGTATTATTGCCAGTTCTCCTGCACCTTTTTTATTTTATAAGATGTACTCATCAGAGAGACACAGATGGTGAGGAGAGGGTAATAGAGAAAATCCCCCATCCTCATTGGATACGATCACACTACAATTACTTTTCCATTTCCCCATCCCATCAAAATTTGGGGCATGCATTCATGGGTCCAGTATGTTTTTCAAGGCACTGCATCTTGAATTACAACTGTACCGTCAGCCATGTGGGATCTGGCTCCCCTCATCATAAGCCCACAGGCTCAGATTCTCCCATATTTTTCATTTTTTTTTAATTTTTAATTTAAGTTTTAAGTTTTTGCCACAGGGCATGTGTGCTCACCAGAGACAGAGGGAGACAGCATGAGAAATCACCTTCTAAGGGAATGGCCACACTGTAATCCCTTCTTTTCCATTCTCTTCTCAAAATTTTGGGCATGGGTGCGCATGTACCCAGAGTGATTTTCAAGCCATCAGATCCAGGACTTGAACTGTAATTAGTCATGTGGGAGTCCAGTGTCTTAACTACAATACCACTTGCTAGCTCCAACCCCTCCTGTATGTTAAATTTCCTTTTTCACTATTAGAAAAATGAAAAACAGGTGCTCATTGGCAAGGTTGTCTTAATCATCTGAAGATAAGTGATTTCTTAAAATGAAGAATATGACATGAAGATATTTCAGAAGGAATCTACAATCAAAGTGATGCATTTTGAGCACTTAGCGAGAAGTAATGGAATACATACATTACCCTGGATTTAGACATTTCAGCCAAAGAGATCAAGGATGTTTCTAGCTGCTTCATAGTTGCTGAGAACCTGCACTATCATGCCCCTGATGACTTCCCCCATGGAGCTAATTACTTGGAGGGAGGAAGGAACCAGTGATGAGCATCCCCTGTGGAATTCGCCCTTGCACTACACAACTTCTTCCTAACCCACTACAATTCCCCAGGTATTTTCCCAAACAGGCCATGCCACCTCTGATATCAAGGGCCATCATTTTATCAAAACAAGAATCTGATGGAAGGAAAACTGTAAACACTGTAACGAGAGGCCAGTCTTTACACAGTCCAACTACAGAGTTTGACTCTTCTGCCTGTTTCCTAAGGATTCCTGTGTTTATCTAGGGTATATGTCTTGATGCTGGCTTAATCTGTCAAAGAGCATCTGGCCATCTCTCCCTTCTCCATCCTTCTCTTTGATGATCCACGTCCATTTCCCCAAACTCAATGTCCTCAATGAGTCTCTTTAGAGTCTCTCCGTTTGGGAATCTCAGTATAACAGGATTTCTATCTGATGTTCTATTAGCTTCCCCGCCACCCACCCCGTGGGAATTTCCTTGCTTTTCCTTCTCAACAACATTAACTATAGTTTAGTTTTCCTTCACACACTTTCTGAGAGAAAACTTCTACGTAACTGCGTATCCATTTCTGCTCTGGAGAACCAGAGTTCTCTTCTTAGGAAAGAAAAGAATATCAGGGATAGTATGTTGGGTGTATGATGGTAATTTTGTTTTTTCCCTTTGCATCATTTAATTTTGGTGAGTAGGAATCAGCGTAGCTTTAAGTAAGAGGCTTCGGGAGCTCCACGTTTCCCACTCTAAGTCTATTCAATGTCAATATATCATTGACTTAATGCAAGTTCCTTTCTCTGCTCATTCGTGAGTGTATCTCACAATGTGCCTTTTAAAAACTCATTATTTAGTTTTTAATTCCCAAGAGGTCTCTTTTCTCCTGAAGCATCATGGTACTTGAAATGAAGAGGAATGCTCCTGAGACTAGGGTTGCCAGATTTAGCAAATAAAAATATAGAATGTCTACTTAAATTTGAATTTCAGATAAACAACAAATAATCTTTTATGTATGTCCCAAATATTGCATACCTATTTATAAGACATATTTATGCTCTGAGCAATGTCTTCCTAATATTATTTTAAAAATAAACATTACACTAAATAATTTTTCATTGTTTACTCAATATTCAAATTTAATTTTTTGTATTATCTGGTAACCTTACCTGAGACCAGTTTTCTAATTCTAGAGACCAAATCCGGGCTATGTTGGAGCAAGAAGCATTTTTTTTTCTAACCTCTATAATAAGTGGAGTATAGTGGCAGTATTTTTCTATTGAAAATAGCATTAAAAAATGTATCAGTTCAAATATATGTTTTCCTTTGGGGTTGACCCACGCTGGCACCTCAGAATCAGGGTGGATAATAAGATATAACCATTTAACAGCATCTTATAAATCATTGTTTGAAGTTACTCATGACTTCTTTTGGAGGCAGTCTTTTTAATTCATTGCTATTCTTTCATATTTCCTCCCTGAGATGATTTTTAAAATTTTAACTTAATACAGCTAATTAATATATTCTTGGATCTATTTAAATATTGATATTTGAAAAATTTTAAGGACTGCAGTAAGTTTTAGTGAGTTACAGGATAGTGCAAGACAAATAAAATATAATTGCCATTGAAGTCCATAAAAATAAAAATAAAAAAATTTTCAGTGTGTTAAATGTAAACACAATTCTTTCAGGGCACGATGTCTAGAAATCATCTCTAAGGGTCCAGCTGAGGTAAAACTGGTATTGGGTAGGGTTAAAATGAGTCATATTTTTAAAAACTCAATCTCTGCATACCAAACCAGAATCCTAACAGACTCCAAAACTTACTTTATAATAAACCTGCTGGCCCCTGCTCTTAAAAAAAAAAAAAATGCCATGTGGACACCAGAGAGAGGGAGAGA